GTGAGGAATTACGGATATGTTTCGTGTAAGATGAAGAAAATATATTAAAAAGTTCCTGAACTAGTGGATTTTTTTTTCTCTGTTCTGACTTTAGGACAAAAGCAGAGAGCAGTGCAAGAAATACTGTCTGTTTGACCTGCTTGGCTGTTTCATTACTGTTGACTAGGAAGGTGCTGATACTTCTTTTGCAGTCTTGTTTTAGAGTCCCACCAATGTTCATGTAGGTAGATTTTTCTTTTTTTCCTATCCCTGAGTAAACTGTTTTCTTGGGAACGTAATTGTTTTTTAATTGGGCTGCAGCTGACGGTGGGTTTATGCCGAGTTGGAGACTGAATTACATCTTTGGAAAAGCATTTTTTGTGATTTTTTTTTTTTTAATTATTTTTTTGGCCTTCAAAACTTAGTCTAGATGACTGGGGTTCTTGCTTGATCTTGTTCAAGCACCAACAGCTGGATGGTTGCTCCTGACAGAAACCCCCCCAGGTATTTTGGGCTGGAGCGCTGCGTGACGTGGTGGGTCGCAGCAGTCTCGGCAGGAAGATGCTGCTGTGCCGTGGTGCCGGCGGTGCCCAGCAGACTCCCTTCAGTTTCCACCACTTCTCGATGCAGATCCGAACAGATTTTGCGGGCCTGTGCTCAGCGACCCTCCAAGTGAGGTGTGGTTTGACTGAAGTGGGATGTTTCATGACAATTCAACTCTTCTTCTGCAAAACCACTCCCTCGGATCCCTCTTTTGTGGAGCCGGTGCGTGCCTTGCACGTGCAGCAAGCTGGGCTACGCAGGCAATGGGGAGCTGTCTGCCGACGCACGGCTTAGCTTCTGTTCACTGACTCCAGAGACCTGAATCCACCAGGGACGTGATATAAATTTGTGATTTTTGTTTTCGTAAACCTGTTGAGGGGGTTACGCTAACTCCTAGGTTTTTGTCTAACAGAGTACAGGCAGTAGCCTCCAAGTACAGGACGGTGCTAGTTGCCGATACGTGAGAAACGTCATTTTATTTGCTAGTTTTAAAACAAAGGTGGCAGCTGCTTCTGGTCGACGCGTGTTCACGAGAGGGGTTCACAGGAGACAGAGGTGGGAATGGCAAAGTCTGGTTTTTCAAACGAGACACCCTACAGCTAAAAATCTACTTGATTGATGTGTATTTCGTTGAGCTACTTAGTACATGCGACTTGTTATTGTCTTTTCAGCTGCGCATATTTGTATAGGGACAGTGGTAATGACGAATCATTATTATACTATAAATAAAACATTATCCAGATTATGCTGGTCAACAGAGCATAAAACAAATAGCAAATTCTGATGTCCTTGAATTACAATTAAAGGGGAAAAAAAACCAAAAAGCAGCAGAGGATGCTGGTATGTACTGAACACCTTCGCCTAGTTGCTATGAGAGCTTTTCCAGTTGCATCAGGATTATTCAGGGGTTTGCTCTTTCAGCACCGCCTAGTAAATTCTCCCTAAAAAGAAAATGTAGCAGCGCCAGGGAGCTCGCAGCAAACAACGCCTGGCTTTTTGCTTTTTTTTTTTCTGTCTTGCTCGCCGCTGTAGCACAGCGTGGCCGCTCGACGTAAGAGCCCGGGAATCGGGGCGCAGGCGGCGAGGCGGGCAGAGCGCCCCGGGTCCCAGCGCAGTATCGCCGGCGCTGCCGTGACCGAGAGGCCGAGGAGCTCGGGGCAGGATCCGACCACCGGCTCGGGCTACGAGGAGATGGAAAGGCTGAGGATCCAAAGGGTGAAATTCTTGAGGGGAAAGGAAAAAGCAAGCTAAGTTACTTCCCTGATCAAGTTGAAATGATTAAAAAAGAAAATACCGAAAGCGCGTGGTTCCCGCAGCGCTGTACGGTGGGCCGTCTAAAGACAAAAAGCTGATGCTTATGTGTGTATCATGAATTGGCTTTCTACTGGGATTTTTATATGTATATCCACGGGATGGGGAGAACAATAGGAAGTGTATTTAGTAAGGAGTTTAAATACCTATTTGCATTGATATAAATGCATGCAAAACTATACTGTTGAGATTTGGATTAAATTAAAGGACATGTATTAAAAACTTCCTAGGTTACGTTGCTGTGGTCACAAGTCATTATTGCCCACTTGGGACACTTTCTAAAAATGGTATTTAGTCTTCCAAATTTTTATTTTAAAATCCTTTGAATAAGAGTCATGGAGAGGAACAATCACTGAAATTTGAAACTTGTCTAAAATAGTCACCTGTTATACAGGATTTTTTTTTTTTTAAATATGGCCTGTTCGGTGTGAAATTAAATCCAATTTAGTTCTGTTTACAGGGGCAGTGTGAAACTTGACCTAATGAAGTCTGTCACTTCCTTTGGTTCATTGGATTGTATCTTGCTTACCTTGCTAGGTGTAAACAATTGGGCTCCGTTTCCCTTTTGACTGCAGTAAGATTGTAGGTGCTTTTTTGCAGTGACTTTCTCACAATTCATCTGAAAAAACCGTAATGCTTTTAAGTCGGTTTTTAAAGTATTGTGATTGGAAAATGCGCGGTGGGGAGTCCTCTGGCATGATGGGTTTTGGTACCAAGGCTCCCCGCCTCTCCTCCTGCTCCAGCTGCCGCCTTGTGCCAGGGCTCGGTGGGAGGACGGCGGCGCAAGCTTCTCCCGCCGCCCCAGCATCAAAGCATCAGAACGCTGGTCAGACGCTGCTGCTGCTGCTGAGGGCTCGCTTCTCCCGGGGAAAACGTCCGGGCTGTGCTAAAGC